TTTTACAGCAAAAAGTCAAAAAAAACTCAGATGATCAAATACCACTGAAAGAAAGCTCTATTTGTGGGGGGAAAAAAGTACATAAATTTCATTTATGTACAACGTTGCATGACCGTGCAATTGTCAGTTAAAGTAAGGAAAAGCAGTATCGCAAAAAATGGTCTGGTCAAGAAGGGGGGTAAATCCTCTGGAGGGCAAGTGGTTAAAGTGTAACAAAAGACAAAACTTTTCTTTCAATTTTGAATAGAGAGGGGAAGGATTAGAACACCTGGCAGGTTTTTTTAAATTGATGTCTGTACCTCCTTTCTTTTTGTCCTGTTTACCGTTATTACTGAAAGTGACAGAAAATCCAAATGTTGGGTTGTCCACAAAACAGTAGTAGAAAGAAAATCTTCCAGTGGGGACCCTGGTGACAACAGGGGTTTCCTTCACTTTGGAGGGATTTCCTCTCACTTCCTGTTATGCATATGTTACATGAAGTTAAGGGAAATCTCCCCAATGAGACAAAGATGGCAAAAAAACCCTATCAGGGGTTATAACTCCCCCTTACTGTATCCGAAAAGAAAAAAAGTTTTGTTCTACTTTAACCCCTGCAGCACAGAAAAATTAATGCTGCGGCGGTATGGGAATGTAGTAGAGGGAAGAAGATTTCAACTAAGAGAGCAACCACCAGCAAGAAGCACACCAGCAAACTAAACCTCTATATAGAAGATTGCTGTTCACTACCCACATATTTCTATATTTTCTAGAGTTGTCGGTTTGAATCCTAACCATGGCACCACCTGCCTGGTGTTTGCATGTTCTCCCTTTGCCTGTGTGGGTTTCCTCCGGGTACTCCGGTTTTCTCCCACACTCCAAAGACATGCTGGTAGGTAAATTGGTTCTTGTCTAAATTGGCCCTAATATGTGTATGTATGAATGTGAGTTGGAGACCTTAGATTGTAAGCTCCTTGAGGGCGGGGACTGATGTGAATGTAAAATATGAATATATAAAGCACTGCATAAATTGTTGGCACAATATAAATACCTAAAATAAATAAATGTTCATTTTACTTCTAGTGTGTGTCCCTGATTGATTGTCCTGAAGACCCACCAGCTGCTTTCTAGGAAAACCAAACACACACTGGTTTTTAAAGTGGGACTCAAGGATTCCTGGATAAACTCAACAGAAGTTGCATAATATTAGGTTCATTTCTGGATCAAACTGCAGTATGTGTAATGGCATGTATATCATCTTTGCCATGTTCTTGTTCTTGCAACAGGGCTACATTGCATAAACACCACAAAGGAGACATAGGTAACCATCCTTTCATTTTCACCTGGCTTAGAGTGCCCCTTTAAAGTATTCTTGAGTGCATTTTCAGAAGTCCCAGGACCCATTTTGGAAATGTGCAAATTATTACTTGCCATAAAGGGTTTCTCTGCAAATACATTTATGAATATATAACTACATTGAGCAGCGAGCACATTTTCTTTTGATTAGTAAGCCAAGACATAATTTCAGCGTATCAGTGGGGCACAAACAGCATTTATTTGTAAAGGAGAGAGAGCATCAAAGGCCTTCTCTCCATGCCAAGTTTACGCTCTAAAAGATTTACCAGATCAGTGCATCCAAAAGGTCATTCTTAAGAATGAGCAATGAAAACGTATCCCCCTCGTTATAGCTCCAGCAACTACTTTACTAAAAGAGAAAAACAGATCAGAAGCATGAAAGAAAACAAAAGGAACCAACAAAAAACTACTCTGGTGTTTGATTTAAAGCATGCCACTGAGCGTGAGAACAATTTGTTCCTGCAGACACAAATAAGTGTTTTTGCAGTGCTTGCAGTATCAGCTTTAAAGTCTACTCCTCATTCCTTTATAAAATCTTCCTGCTATTTTTGTTAAGAAATCTTGTCCTGTAGCCATGACTGATGGAAGTAATGAGCTAGGAGGCACAACAATTTGATACTTATCCATCAATTTTTAAATGCTGCGGTTCTCAGTAATCTCAGTTGTGCTTTCACATGGGTTTTGTGTGTGACTGTAAGGGACAGGTACACATTGGAGAGCTTCAGCTACCCTGCAGATACACAGATTAGGTCTCATTTACATTTGGGGCATGTGGCTCTAAAAATAGCCGGCTGAGCTGCATTTATAGCAACAAAAAAACGCCCCCTCCTTGAGCTGCAAAGGTAGCAAAACGGGGGTGTGCATGCCACGGTAACAGCAAAAATGATCCCTCTGTGGTGGTGTGCATGCCATGGTAATGCCAAAAATGATCCCTCTGTGGTGTGCATGCCAGGGTAATGCCCAAAATGATCCCTCTGTGGTGTGCATGCCACGGTAATGCCAAAAATGATCCCTCTGTGGTGTACATGCCACGGTAACGCCAAAAATGATCCCTCTGTGGTGTGCATGCCACTGTAACAGAAAAAATTATCCCTCTGTGGTGTGCATGCCATGGTAACGCCAAAAATGATCCCTCTGTGGTGTGCATGCCACGGTAACGCCAAAAATGATTCCTCTGTGGTGTGCATGCCATGGTAAGGCAAAAAATGATCCCCTGTGGTGTGCATGCCACGGTAAGGCAAAAAATGATCCCCCTGTGGTGTGCATGCCACAGTAATGCCCAAAATGATCCCTCTGTGGTGTGCATGCCACGGTAATGCCAAAAATGATCCCTCTGTGGTGTACATGCCACGGTAACGCCAAAAATGATCCCTCTGTGGTGTGCATGCCACTGTAACAGAAAAAATTATCCCTCTGTGGTGTGCATGCCATGGTAACGCCAAAAATGATCCCTCTGTGGTGTGCATGCCACGGTAACGCCAAAAATGATTCCTCTGTGGTGTGCATGCCATGGTAAGGCAAAAAATGATCCCCCTGTGGTGTGCATGCCACGGTAAGGCAAAAGATGATCCCCTGTGGTGTGCATGCCACAGTAATGCCAAAAAATGATCCCTCTGTGGTGTGCATGCCACAGTAATGCCAAAAATGATCCCCCTGTGGTGTGCATGCCACGGTAACGTGGTGTACATGGCACGGTAACTGAAAAAATGATCCCTTTGTGGTGTGCATGCCACGGTAATGCCCAAAATGATCCCTCTGTGGTGTGCATGCCACGGTAAGGCAAAAAATGATCCCCCTGTGGTGTGTGATGCCACGGTAACGCCAAAAATTATCCTTCTGTGGTGTACATGGCACGGTAACTGAAAAAATGATCCCTTTGTGGTGTGCATGCCACGGTAATGCCCAAAAATGATCCCTCTGTGGTGTGCATGCCACGGTAACGCCAAAAATGATCCCCCTGTCACATTCAGTGAGCAGTATCAATGCTGAACATGACCCTTTCAAATAAACGGGACCGTGGTATAACCTTCTTGCATCCATGTATAATACATGCAAGTGCATGTAATACATGCGAGTGGTGCAGCATTTACAGGGCTAAAAGAAGCAGTGAGAAGGTGTCATATCGCCTCCTCTCTGCCTGTCAAATTCCTCTGACAAGTGATCCACTGCAGATTACTTTCAAGGGCATGACAATCTTAGCCACACGTCCAACCTTGGGGTGGCCTCACTATGGATTTCACCTGTAATTCTGTGAAGTGTACTGTGTGCACAGGGAAAGAAAACAAATGTTATTATACGATTTCCTGTGCTGGATGAAAACATTTCATTGAATTAAAATGGAAAATCTTGCATTTGGCCACAAGATGGCCCCTAGTGTGATAGGAAATTCGTATGACACTTAGCACTTTCTGGTGGCCAAATGTTGTATTGTCTGTGTTGTCCTGCCTGCAGTAATAAATGTGGCCACTAGATGGATCCCATAATAAATATATTTATTTATTTATTACAGGTACTTGTATAGTGCCGTCAATTTACATAGCGCTGTACATATATATTGTACATTCACATCAGTCCCTAACCCTCAAGGGGCATACAATCTAAGGTCCCTAACTTGCATTCATACATACATATACTAGAATAATTTAGACAGGAATCAATTAACCTACCAGCATGTCTTTGGAGTGTACGAGGAAACCAGAGTACCCGGAGGAAACCCACGCAAGCACAGGGAAAACATACAAACTCCAGGCAGGTGGTGCCGTGGTTGGGATTCGAACCAACGACACTAGTACTGCCAGGCAGAAATGCTAACCATTTAGCCACTGTGCTGGCCATTTTACTGTCTTTCAGGAACTAGAGACTGTTTAGTCTAATAAAAAAAACTTTTTCAATCTAAGAAAAGGAAAGGCATGCATCTAGGGAACTCCATCTTAAGAACTGAGGAAAAGGAACCAGTCATTGTAGCACATGTTGTGGACTAAAACTTGCATCCCCTAAAGGCAATATTGCTGGTGAGCATGGACTTATTGCCATCTGCAGCCAATCATTTTGTGTTTGAATGTTTCATTTATTGATTATATGTACAGTACTTCTTTTTTTTAATTATTTATTTCAGAAAAGACAAAGGTTAACAATCACAATCTTCAGAGTGTTATCAGCTCTAGGTAACTCAGGCACAGCTGAGGGAATATGTAACAATGAACAATAGGAAAATACCCAAACAGTCACTTGTTTCTCAAATAAATATATGCACTTCTTATCAGTATTTACCTAATAGTTTCACCCCACCATGATTTGTTAATAAAGCTTCAAGATTACATTTAGTCTGGTTTATTACAGAATAGGAGGGTTTAGCTGCATGTCGAATTACACACAGGGAAACATGTAGCAAGGACAGTACAGTCTGTTTTAAATCAATGAAAAACATTCAATCAGCAGAGGAAATAGCCTAATAACCTTTGTTTTTCCCCATTCACATAGCACAGGGGTGGTGAACACGCGGCTCTCGAGCCGCGTGCAGCTCCTGGCCAAAATGAATGTGGCTCTTTGCCTCTTATCATATTTTGTATACTGTGGCTCTTTGCCAAGTTTCATGTTTCTCCTATTTTTACCTGTTCCTCTATCCAGCAGCGCGCTGTCTTCCGGCTTCTGTAGTGTGGGCACTGGGCATGACAGCCGGGTGCCAAGTGCGCATGCGCAAGAAGCGGTGCTTTTTGTGAATGGTAAGGCGGTACCTGGGACATATGACAGATCCCAGAACCCGCCGGACCAATCACAAAGCGCAAGTGCTTCTCGCTCATGCGCACTGGGCACCCGGCTGTCATGCCGAGCGCCATTACAGAAGCCGGGAAGACAGCGCGCGGCTGGATCGAAAAACAGGTAAGGTCAAACAAAAACTCTGCGGAAGTAAGAGCGGGTACCTGTCAAATTCTGGTACCTGCTCCCCACCTCCCCAAAGGTCAGCAGTCATCTGTACTGTCTGCAGTCTCTGGTCATCCCTGTGCTGTCCGCAGTCTCTGGTCATCCCTGTGCTGTCCGCAGTCTCTGGTCATCCCTGTGCTGTCCGCAGTCTCTGGTCATCCCTGTGCTGTCCGCAGTCTCTGGTCATCCCTGTGCTGTCCGCAGTCTCTGGTCATCCCTGTGCTGTCCGCAGTCTCTGGTCATCCCTGTGCTGTCCGCAGTCTCTGGTCATCCCTGTGCTGTCCGCAGTCTCTGGTCATCCCTGTGCTGTCCGCAGTCTCTGGTCATCCCTGTGCTGTCCGCAGTCTGTGGTCATCCCTGTGCTGTCCGCAGTCTCTGGTCATCCCTGTGCTGTCCGCAGTCTCTGGTCATCCCTGTGCTGTCCGCAGTCTCTGGTCATCCCTGTGCTGTCCGCAGTCTCTGGTCATCCCTGTGCTGTCCGCAGTCTCTGGTCATCCCTGTGCTGTCCGCAGTCTCTGGTCATCCCTGTGCTGTCCGCAGTCTCTGGTCATCTCCTGTACTGTGTCTGCAGTCCATTAGTTCAGAATTTTTTTTTGTATACTTGTGTGTTAGAGTGAGAGAGAGAAGGGAGAGAGAGAGAGACAGGTGCCACAGCAACCTCCAGGGTAGTTGATGTGTTAACTCTGGCTAAGTTGCATTGGATGTGTGTGTGAGGGTGGACACTTACCTTGAAATGAACACATTGTTGTTTTGTAAGGGGAAGAAAGTGTTATGGTGAATAATATGGTTTTAATTATGTGTTTTTGTGTGAGTGTTTGTCTGTTTTGGCAGGTCACTGCGTGGTGAGGCTCTCTGACTTTCACAGTTTAAAATTTTGGCTCTTTGTGTCTAACTTGTTCGCCACCCCTGACATAGCACAAAGGCATATACACTTTCACTGGGTGAATTGCTACTGTATGTAAAATGTTTATAATTGCACATTATAGAGTAAAATTAAAAAAAAAAAAAACTTCTAGGAAAAATACTGTACATACTGACTGTACTGTTGTAACACACTGATAAAATTATAAAACATTTTAAGTACTTTAGTTATATACAGTAATTATATTCAATCCCTTCCATTTTATCATCTCTTGATACAAATAAAAGTTCCTCTGTGTGTACTAAGCTCCTCCCACTTGTCAAGTCATTGCTTGGGAAAGATTTTAGGAAGTTAGGTTTACTACTTTACTTTTGTCAAAAGATTTATACTTACCAATATAAATTCTGTAGATAAAGAAAATGCAGAGTAAGCCACAGCAAATGTATTAATACATTTGATATTGCACCGATGCAAATACATGTTTTGCTCTCTATTCTGACCCGAAGCTTTTCTCAAAAAGGTATTAAAATCATTTTCTGTGTATCACTCTGGCCCTGGCTGTGTGTGTGGCATGCTGAGTGGTCATATGTAGACGTGGATTACAGAGTGTGAGCATACATGTAATGGAGACTAATACAGGATCCTGGAGGTACAGGGATAAATTATAGAATGGGTATCAAAAAGCACAGCCAGGGGACAACTGAAAAAACAAATACCAATGAAGAACTTTTTTTTAAAAAAAAACCTCAAACACGTGTGAGTTTTGTTATATTTATCTGATTTAAGAAAAAAAAATATTTGAATACCACTTTAACAAGCAGGAAAAAAATTGCAACTGTACCTACAATTGGTGGCCATGTTCAACAACTTATTTTTTCTTGTATTTGCTAGTATTCCCTTTATTTTGTTCCAAGTACTTCTATTTCATAAGAACTGGATTTAATTTGTAAGTATATCAAGAGACATGCTGACTATATATCAGTTGACATTAGAAAGTGGCCGTCACTGCTTCACATACTAGGGCATGTTGGCCAAATACAGAATCGTTTGCAATGTATATTAGAGAAATCAGTTTATCTTGGCTTCTACAAACAATCCTTTTAGCCTAGAACTGAATATACATTGTCGTGAGCTTATTAGCTGTTACATTACACTTACATGGCCGTGGAGGGGATAGGGGAGTTGTTGAATACTCAATAGGCCAGTGTTAGTCATGGAAAAAAATTATCAATGTCTCTATATTATGCTGTAAATTTTGCCAAAACGTTTGTGGAGCAATACAACCTTGTAGGAAGGAAACTGGGGGATTACCACAAGTGCACTTCAGTTTCCTCTTTTCTAGGAATAGAATATTCGGCAAAGCAATAAACTGATGGAAAACACTGTAATCAGCGAAAGTGTAAAAACCCAGATAGAGATGGATTATTCGACCAACCAATATTGTAGTTAAAAGTCATAGTATGTTTAAGCAAGCTTCAGGTTTGGGGGTTGATATTCAATATTAATTGCTATTGGATTAAAAACAGATCTCCAATCTTGTGAATGCTAGACTACCTAGTAAGTAAATTCATCCCAAAGCAAATTGAGCAGTCTTCCAGCCTAGTTTGCATTCCCCGTATCATACTCTCAATAAGAAACTATACTCACCAGTCTTTAATCACTGTGCTTGCTATCATTCTACTTCCATGTTTATTATAATAGCATTCATCAACTGTTCTTTATGGTGCACACAGATGTCTGTTCTAGCAGAAGCCTATCTGAGCAAAGTGTGCATGCTGAGTTACAACCTACCATGAAACTATCTCCATTCATAGCCACTATTTACGCTAAAAGCAGCTTTCAAATCCGGCCACTTCTCTGTGTTGTCAGTCAAATAAAGCAGACCTGATGGGGAGCTTGTCTCTTTCCCAGCAGGCTCTGCCCACCCAATGACTAGTAATTTTAGAATTATGGGCATTGCCATATTTGTGTAATTACATCACTAGTATCCCGCCCCTATGTTTACATGTAGATTTTAGATGGAGAATCTCCTGCATAGGTCAGGGATAGAGCTCGGTGTGGGAAGCCATCACAGTAATGGCAAGTTCCCAGCACAAACATGCGCCACTCTGAGTACTGGCTTACCTCTGTACCATATCAGAGTTGATCTTAATTACCACCATTTTTTTTCCTATTTGAGAACTGGCCTGTTCAGGGAGTTTGCTTCACCTTGAAACCAACCAGCTTCCATGTATATCAGACTGGAGAACTTTGGGGTGCCTGTGTGATGAAAGAACACCCAAGTCTGGTGAGACACATCTTGTGTGGCAAGGGCTTTATTTGCAGAGTCAAGTCCGTTAGCCAGGGACCCTGCATGTCAGTACGTTGCCAAGTGGCAAGGTTCTGCTATCTTGCTTTCTTCTTTTTTTCTGTTTTAACTTCAAACATAGTGTATACAGTCTTTGTAAGCTGCACATGTGTTTTACTGAAGACTATTGTTACTGTGTCCTTTAAAAGAATGGTGAACTCATCCAGGTTTCTCAGCTACAGACTGAGGGCTTCCAGGGTTTGTGTTTTCTTGATCATAATAAGTTCTGGCATGGGTCCTGGAGCCCAGAGACCATATAGAGCTTTCAGTGAGATTAAGCCACCTATCCTAGGTTCAAGTTTTACCTGTTAGATGGACCTCACTAGTTAGTAAGCTGTTCCAAAGCCTTTTTATATCTGAACTGATGTATGCCAGGGTTTCTCACTCTCTCTTCTGTGGAAGCTTGTTGCTTGGAAGAATCCATTTTTGTATGTGGGTGGGTGTGGATTACAATGTCAAGGAATTTACCATTTTTCTTGGAAGTGGATCCAACAGGCCCATGTGCAGGTGAATTTTGAGGGAGTATCCTGCCCTATGTGGATCAGCTGCTTCATGTCATGGGGGTATGCAATGTCTAACTGCATTTACAAGATTCATGGCCAAGGACCTATGGTAAGCAGACTTTGAAAGTGAGGAGTGATGCAGCAAGTATTGTTCTGGAGTGAAATTGAGCATATAGGTAGTTATTTTATCAATAGCATCATATATTTCTTTCCAGAAAGTTTGCAGTACCTGGCATGGCCACCAAATGTGTAAAAGGGTACCAGGTTCAGACCCGCATCTCTAGTAAAGTGGGGAAGTTGTAGGATAAAATTTATGAAGCTGTTGTGTACTTTTATGTTATGGACTTGCGGTACATAGACCTCCTGCTTTGAACTGTATTGTTTACTGCCTTACTACTGCAGGACACACCTGTACAGACTGTCCCTGGGTGCCCTAGTTTTGTGCATAGCTTACTGCTACCACTAGCAGTTGAGCATGTCTTCCCTTAAAATATATTTTCCAGGACTGCTCCATTTAGTTAAAATTTCCACAATATAAATGAAAATACAACAAGAAGGTATAGACTATGGAAGATGAGTGGCACTGAAAACACAGGTCTAACAATGCCCTGTTTGTTAACCACTTGAGCTCCGGAAGATTTTATCCCCTTCATTACCAGTCCATTTTTTGCTTTTCAGCACTCTGCTACTTTAACTGTCAATTGCATGGCCATGCAACACTGTACCCAAATTAAATTTAGATAATTTCTTTCGAACAAATACAGCTTTCTTTTAGTGGTATTTGATCACCACTGTTTTTTTTATTATACATTATTATTACTATAAAACTAAACATTTTGAAAAAAAAAAGAATATTTTTTACTTTCTGCTATAAAACATATTCAATTAAAACAAATTAAAAAAAACCCACACATTTCTTCATAAATGTAGGCCACAATGTATTCTGCTACATGTCTTTGGTAAAAAAAATCCCAATAAGTGTATATTAATTGGTTTGCGTGAAAGTTATAGTGTCCACAAACTATAGCATATATACTGTAATTTGTATTTATTTATGTTTTTGTACTAGTAATGGCAGCGATCGACAACTAATAGTGGGATTATAATAGTGCAGCAGACAATCTGACACTGACACTGGGTGGGAACTGACAAACTGCCACTGACATCTCCAGCAACACTAATACAGTGATCAGTGATAATACTCTATAACTGTATACTGTTACTGTTTTAATGGCACTGGCTGAGAAGGAGTTAACTTCCCGGGGCAATCAAGGGGTTGATTGTGTGCCTAATAATGTGTAATGTGTGTATTATATGCTGCTTTTTACTACAGATCAATTTGTTTCCCTCTGTATTGAGTCCTGTGTTCTTTGTCAACAGAGGGCTCTGGGCTGTGACTTGACACAGCTGATCAGCAGGTCCCAGCCATGAATCAAACACCCACTGTTTCAAATCACAGGGATGTAGGCGGGCGGGTGGCGCGTGATCCTACAAAACCCGGAAACAGGCAGTGGCATACAGGTATGTTACTGTGCCTATAGGAGCCACCCCATTGCAGTATATGTACTGTGATGGTTGGAAAGTGGTTAAACACAGCAGATAGCATGACTGGAGTCTGTTCCTTTGGGACACTACTTCAGTTATGGGGGTAAAAGGTTAAGGGCTTTGACATACACAACTGCAGAAAGGATTTAGTATTTGGTCATGTTTTCTTGGTTTACTTGTTCATTATTTGTATGTTTATATTGTAGCAAGCTGTTGCCATTACCTAATAAAAGTATCAACCCAGTTGAAAAGAACTAAGTTGTCAGTTCAGTTTTTTATGGAATAGGTATATAAGGAAAGATGTGAACACTGGATTAGTCATGTCATCAGTCCCTACCAGCCTACTTAAGAATTACAGCAGAAATTCTAGTCCACCAAAAACATCAGAGATCAGTTTTGGGGGGGGGCTGGCCTTTTACTTTTCTGAGACTTATAAATCTATCAATAGTGCCATAAGTAATGATGTGATACAATAAAAATGGTACTGAAAATTATGTTTTTCTTTCTGCCTGGTTACAAGGTGAATTGACTTTTCAAACGGAAGGCTTGTATAGGAATGTCCCAGAATCTGGTGGCCTGAATACTCACCACCCACTAAAACAACTTAACATTTCCAAATCATACAAACTGAACATTGTTTCAGAAAGAGGTCCAGTAATATAAACACACATTATATATAGGAGATGTGTGAGTGGTTCA